TCTAACCGAAGCTGAGGTCATGGCCACTGTGCACGGAAATGGGCAACACCAGGCATCTCTCTCCTCACTTGCCAAACAAGCAGCCTCGCTTAGTGCTCTGGTGTGCTGAAGCCCGTACGGAGCACTCTCCCTGTTGCATCTTAGAGCCAGAGTTCTTGCCATCTGCCGTGTCTCCCACATTACGGAGCACAGCCATGCCCATGATTCTAAGAGCTTTTGAAGCCGTACGGCTGCTAAGAGGTTTGACCAAGTAGGGCCAATTCCTACTTCCCTTCCCTACTTCCGCTTAACCTGAGAAGCTAAGCAAATCTTCACACAACAAGCGACTCAGCCCCACACACCACCCTCACCCACCTCCACACCACACCTGCTCGCCTCCCAATGACAAATCACTTCTTTGGCTGGCACTACCCAAGACAAGGCCATTTATGGGCCAGACCTCTAAAGCAGCACCCCTTCGTCCTTTATTTTTTACCTTCTTAAAACAACTGTAAAAATTATTCAAAGCATTCCCTCCTCACAACCTTTCTTTGCTCCTTTTTGAACTAATGATACATAAATTTGTTAGTACTGAAAACAGTGCAATGCAAAATAGAGGAAGATATAAGTGTTCGCTCTACAGTTTACACCTCTTATTCACAGTGAGGTACCTCTACTTACTTCCTGATCACTTTTAAATGCAACTCCTTAGCCCCTTCTTGTTTCCAGTAGTAAGTAGCTTTGATCCCTTGAAGGGATATTTTGATTTTTTTTGGTACCAGCGATCAAACTCAGGACCTTGTACTTGTCAAGCAGGTGCTGTGCCACTGAGCTATATCCCTGGCCCCTGAAGAGGTATATTAATGCCCTTTGATAATATAAGAGGGGGTCAAAGTCTAAGGTACAAGTTCATAGTCCTGACAGATCCAGCAGAAGGGAGCTAGCCCCCTCCAAGGTCCCTGTAATTTTTAATCTCAAAATTCAAATGAGGTCAGGCATGGTGACACATGCACCTGCAATTTCAGCATTCAGAAAGCTGAGGCAGGCAGGCTGCCACAAGTTCAAGGCTAGCTGGAAATATACTCTGTGTCAGTGAGTTTAAGGCTAGCTGGAAATACACTCTGTGTCAAAAGACCAAAAAGTTTAAAACAATATTAAAATAAGGAAAACTATGTCTACATAACTATAGCTACAGTTGCCTGAGAAGAAACCATCTTAGTATCTGCTGCGTTTCCTTAAACCTAAAAACAAACCAAACCTTGAAATTCTATGTTACTAATATTTCACTCAGCTCCTGCTCCTGGCCCAGCAGCTGGAGCCATGGGGCTTGCTTCTTCATCCTAGGACTTCCTCCTAGGACTGCATCTTAGGTGTCCTTCATCCCAAACCACCCCAGTTTGAAATCTGAGACATGGGTCATGCAGTTCTGTGAGGCCACTTCTTTTCCTCTGGGTTATAGAACAGCAATCAGGTTCCCATTCCACTCTGCAGCTTCACAAAAATCAACACTCCCTCACTGTTTGGAGCAACTTTTTCAAGATTTGACTTCAAAATGAAGCTCCCAGATCCCCTCCGCTCTTCTGTTAATACACCCTCGCCAGGGCCCTCTCCTCCCTGGCATCCCCACCTCAGCCCGTGAGCGGTGTCCCTCCCCCTGCTACTTTCCAACCAGAGAACTGGTGCAGTCCCTGGGCTCTGCTCTCACCCACTTCCTGATACCCCGGTCTTCATCTCATCGACAGCAGTTCTGGTTCTATGAGCTCAAAACCACGTAAGCAAAGCACAGCAAAATCTGAAGCTGCTCATTTCCTAAAACGTCCGTCTCCATGTGTATGGGCTGTCAGGTAGGAGGTGTGGGACAGGTGGGAAGCATGGAAGCTAGAGGACACAAGGAAACTGCAAAACATCACGGAAAAGAAGAGGTTTTTTTAAATGTAGAGGGCCATAAAGTTCTCCATGAGCATTCCTGCTGGAGACTTCTAGAGCTACAATGGGCAGCAGCGGCTCAGACACCGTGCTGAGTACTTTATCATGACCACATGTATGAGACAACTGAGGCCCGCAAAGGCTAGTCAGCAAACTGGTCCAAACTGAGGGCACAGGTGGGCTAGGAACTAAAGCCCATCTGATTCCAAATCCTGCGCTTTCCTACCACGACGTACGGTCTGGACAAGCTGTCAGCAGAGGCCTCATCCACCCACCAAAGTAGCTGCTACTCCCGATCAACAGGTGCACAATTTCTGCTGGGCCACTGTTAGCTTGCACTCACTGCTACACTATCACGACAGCCCACTTTATCTTTAAATATGACAACTGCTAAATAGCAAAAAAAGGCACGCCTACCTACAGTGCATGAAGAGAATACGGATATGTCTATTAGTCCAACTATATGAAAAGAAACCCTTCCCCTTTGTAAGAGTTCCTTGGCTAAGAGGATGAGCCCTGTAAGGAGGAATCAGCACTGGCAAGAGTCTCCCACATCAGTAAGAACAGGAGGCAAGCAGTGTGTGTAGCTAGGAAGAGCTACATGGGAGCCCCAATCATCTGTTCCCTCTGCCTGAGACTGCTCCAGGGAAGGTGTGAGCTTCCAGCAGCCAGCAAGCTAGAACACAGTCAAGATTTAATTCAGCCTGGTATTCATAATCTTCAGCTTCTGTCTCTGGAAAGGAGTATGTCCAGGATAGGGGCGAACATAGTAAATCACCAAACCATCCGCTGGGAAAGCTTGCGTTCAGTGCTGAGCATGCACAAACGCTGACAGAACCATTTAAGTGACATCTGCAAAGGCAGGATCTTCAGTTTCCAACTAGCTCAGAGTCAGGACTTGCGGACTCTCCTCCTCTTCCTAACCAGGAAAAGTAACTTCTAGTTTTTAAAAAGTATTTAACTGACAAATAGTGACTGTATACATTAAAGATGTATGAGCTGACGTACACTATGTAATGAGTATCATATTAAAATGAGTATCTGTTATCTCCTATGCTGTACATGAGAGCCATGGAATATTTTATAACTACAAATCTGTACTCACTGACTGACTTCTCCCCATCTCCTACAACCACCATTCTCCTCTGTTTCTATGAACTTTTTTTGTTTGTTTTTTTGGTACCGGGAATCAAACTCGGGACCTTGCACTTGCCAGGCAGGCGCTGTGCTGCTGAGCTATATCCCTGACCCCTCTATGAACTTTTTTATATCCTAAATATAAAAGCATCAAATATTATTTGTCTTTTTTTGAAATGACTTCTATCTTCGTATTTGGGACTAGATTGTTAGAAGAAAAACATTTAAAAACAAAAACAGTATTCTATGACATTCCTTTCAGTGAGTGTAAGACATAGGCTTAACAGACAGCATCATGTTCCTGAATCTCACAGGGACAGCTAGAAATCTCCCAGTGAGTCATGCAGCTGGGGACAGAGGACAGCTGCACACCAGGCTAGATTCCCACCATGGTGTCCCCCATGACACACAGGATGGAGAGTTGACAGCCTGCGGCAAGAGGAGCAAAAGAGGTGTTCCAGCCACATGCAGTGGGCCAATAACAAAAGTCTTGGTCCTAGCCCACTCTCCGTGAGTGGAGTCTCATTCTGCACCTGGACGTGAAGTGAATCAGTATAACAACCATGCACGATGTCCCTGCTGTGTGCATCGTACTGGATGTATGGCGTCAGAAAAGCTAAGTAATTTAGCGGGCAGCTTTGTGAGTCACTTTGTTGCCCATGAATTGGGGAAGGACTAAGTCTTCCCTCTGGGCCTCAGATGACTAGCATGGTCATCATGTGATGCAATAATATAAAAAAGCATTACATAAAGTCAAACAGTGCCATTTCTGAGGTCTGGGTTTCAAATCCCCAAAGCAGGTATGTGTCAACATGGCAGCAGGAGCAGGAACCAAGGCAGAGGGAAAAAAGGATGGAGAGAAAGAACAAGGAAGGGAGACAGGAAGGAAGAAAAGTCCTGATGTCAAACTACTTCCCAGAAACTTGGTTCCCTACTATTATCTTTTAAATAACATTCCCTACCTCCACCCATTCTGTGAAACCAAATGCACTTTCCAATTACAAATAAAAAAGCGGAATGACAAAGTGGCAGTGACAAGAGTCTATTGTTGGACTATAGGATGTAATCCTAGCACTACTAGCTGCTAGTTATGTAATCTTGTGCCCTGCTTTGTTCATCTCTCTGAAATGGGAAGAATAATGGCACCTAAAACATACACTGTTGTATGGGGCAAGTTTTACATATATACCTAGCTTAGCATATTGTAAGCACCTGCACACTGACTATCATTACTCAATTTCAATCATGGCTGGATGGAAAGAAAGGCAATGAATGCAACAGCCATATAACAGATGCATTTTACAATCACGATCCTCTATTTCAACATGAAACACTGGAGCTAGACGGCAGCAGACACTTGTTAGATCATGCTTCTTAAACCTTGTAGGGTAAAGGACCACTTTTTGTTAGCTTTTTCCCTGAATCCAATCACGCTACAACCCTACTGTGGACACCTAGCATAGCTACCTGCCCACAGGCATCTCCGCAAGCCAGTGTGACAACACCCAACTCCAGTGTTTGACAAGGTGCCGAACTGGTGCTGCAGCAATATCAAGTTGCTATAGAAGTTTCTAAAGGCTCTCTCTCCCTCTCTCAGCTTTGTCATCATGGGCCAGCCATGGTTTGTGGGCCCGCCACAGTTTGTGGGCCCATCCACAAACCTCAACGTGAGAGCGATGATCTGGACTGTTCTTCCTTTTCTCTGCAGAAAGCGTCAATAAATGGCAGTGCTGCAAGTCTTTTTTAAAAAGATCCCAGGAAAACTCAACTCTAAGTACACATTAGGAACTCACAAAAATAAAGGGGAGCAAAAAAAGGAAAACAATAACATCAACTCAGCCCAACCGGTGCCAACCACCCTAGTCATACAGATCCAGGGATGAGAATTACTGAGACCAACAGGGACATCACAGCTTTCAGCCTGCAGCAGCCCAGTCCTTGCCAGTGGCATCCCTGACCTTGGGTCGGTCTTCCTTCCTCAGAGCCACGGCCTCCAGTTTGGCTTCATACTCTGCTTGAACTTGATCTCTCTTCTTCAGGACACTCTGTGGGAGGCAGAGAAGAGACACAGGTAACAGGAGTCTGCACAGAGGGCTTCCAAAGCCCAGGCACTAGCTTCTTTACCCCAGCATCCCCAGCCAGGCCCAGCCACACGCTCCCAGTCCAGTCTTCTCATGGGACAGAAGCTGTGGTGACAGGTGACAGATGGAGGAAGCACGGGAAAGGAGGGAAGAAAGGAGACCATTCTTGGAGACCAAGCTCTTCTGAGAGGTAACTGCCCAGTACTGAGAGTAAAAAACTTGAAAGGAGTAAGAGAAGAAACAGTGCCCACCTACTGCCACCCTGACGGCAGGACTCCGCCTCACCACACACAGAACACTCAGCTGGGGCCTCACAGGTCATGATGCACTGCATTCTCTGAACTCAGTGAAATGCTCCAAGCCAAGAAGTTTTTCTCTCAAATATATATAACACTGTGGTAAGGCTAAGCTGAGATAATTAATATGAACCACCTCAAAAGTCATTGTTTAGGGGTGAGAAGATGTAAAATCTATGCTCTCAACAACTTTAAGGGTAGGACACACTGTACTTATAGTCACTGCTGCATACAACAAGAAGTGAGAGGTCTCAACTCTTTAATACACTGAATTGATCCCTGGTGAACTGCTTTATTCGTTGCCCCATTAACTGCCTCTCTGTCCTCTCCTCTGGATAAGATACACCAAGAGCAAAGAGGTACAGTCGTTCCTGCAGGGTTCGGCCTGAGAGAGGTGCAGACGTAGTTGTGAGGGTGGATGTGCTGTAAGAGCTACGCGTGCATGAGGCCGGAATCCTAGTTCCATCCAGTCAGCCTGTGGGAGAGAGTGGTAAGTGGGCCCAAACCGGACCAGGCTCAGGAAGGAGCCAGGTGAGGCAAGCCAGGTGCTCTGGATGGAAAATACAGACACTCACTCATAGGCCTGTGCTAGCAGAAGGTCAGCACATCCTAGCGACTGACTCCTCACATCTGCTCCCGGGCTCCCCTCTTTTACCTCACCTAGCCCAGGCTGTGCCACTAAGACCCACCATGCAAAATGGACAAGCTTGCAGCAGACATTTTATCAAAAGCGTTTCTTTTCTCTGGTAGAATCACAAACGGCAAACCAAGAAGGGTAAGGACTTTCTTCCCCACTAACTCAGAAGTCACAGGTTGCGATGAAAGTTTCTAAATGGAAACTTTCCCTCAGCAAGACCTTCTCACAGAGCATGGAGCCAGGACAGGAAGGACCCATGCCTAGGCTAAGCAAGGCCCACCTTGGGTCCCTGACAGTGTTCTCCAAAGTGACGGGTGACCGGCTGGTTGAGAGCACTCCAAGGCCAACTTTCTAACAGAAGGTAGAAGGGAATCTGGGAACCCCAAGTCTTCCCTTGAAATAGGAATTTACTCTGATGAGTGTTTTGCCACAAGATCATGAATTAAAACCTGTAATCACTTACTTTTTCATGGTGCACCACTCACCTTTCTCCTAAGGGCTCTCACTTTGCTCCTTACACTCGTTAATCTGTAAACAGTGTCACTTACAGTGCTGTTCAATAGAACTCTTTGCTGTGATGCAAATGTTCCATTGTCTGCCCTAACAAGTAGCCATCAGTCTCACATGCCTGGTGAACACTAGAAATGTGGCTCATATGACTGAGGAATGGGTTTAAATATTTATTTGGTTAAAAAAAAAAACATTTATTTTTATTAATTTGAATTTAAACTTCAATAAATATGTACAGCTAAGGGTTATCATATTGGATGATACTCATTTATAAAGTTAAACAAAACACCTGCCTGGTGGCTCCCGGAGGGCGGTCTCCCAGCGCACGGGGAGCCTCGGGCGGAGAGCGCCGGTCTTCGGACCAGCGGCTCACTCCCGGCCTCGTCGTTCCCAGCAAGGAGGGCTTCCGGTGCACAGGGAGCCACGGGTGGGGAGCGCCAGTCTTCTGGCTGGCTAGCTTCCTGCCTGGTGGCTCCCGGAGGGTGGGCCCCCAGCGC